GAAGAGGAGGTCATCACTTTGTGACGTCGCTTTTCACGTATTCCGGACAACATTTGCCGGCTGTGTATAATGGGGAATGGTCAGGACCTGGTGACGCTGGGCAAGCGTGCGACATCTCGCGGCAAGTAAGCTCAGGTGGCGTTGAGCACCTGCACTCGTAGCACTTGTTGGACTCCGGCAAAAATCCAGAGCTCAGGTTGAAGGTTTCTTGGCCTAGACTGCATCGTAGTGGCTCTCCATCACTTCCTGCAAAAAAAATTGAATGAACTCATTAGCATTTTAAACTACGTAAATAAAAATTTAAGGTCAAGACAAGAAAACAACCCCTCGCCAAATTGCATCATAAGCGTCATTGAAAACTAAAAATCGTCGAAGTTATCAATAATCTCGTCGGCTCAAGTTGCAGTCTTGCAGTAAGTTTCAATTTTCACTTCATATGCTCAACATCCTACCTCATTTTCATTATTTTCTTCGATGTAGCAGATGCATTGCATGGAATTGCAAAGTTTACTTCAGAATTGATCAGATTATTGTAGGGTTTTGGACTCATAACTTAAAATTCAAGCTATTCGACCATCTGAAGATACGTGATGGGCATAAAAAAGAAGAACACGTAAAGAAGAATACAATTCACTTGCAAGTAGATGTTTACTGTTTTCAAAATAAATGTTTTATAATTTTTTGGAAGTTTTCAATTCAATAGTTCTTTCGATATTCTTCTCTAAATACAAGTTAAAAATTTGCTTTTTGAACAGGTGGATTCTTCTAAATGAACTTTTCTATATACTAAACAAGGAGGGAGTCAAGTAGTGAATTTTATTAGGGAAAAATTTCGCTTTTAGATTAGCATTGCGTGAAATGATGCCTAATTAACTTGAGAAGACTTACATGTAAATTTTCAAGACTAAAATCTTGAGAAATGCATCTCTAACAATAAAACACACATCAATTCTGAATTTCATCATATTTCAAGAATGAACTCCAACAAAAATTGCAAATGGACATAATTCGCATCTGAATTAAATCGCACTTGCATTTTTCTCTTCTCATTATATCATTATCTGCCATACATCAGCTGCCTTATTCATTTTATGTCAATTAATTTCGAAAAAAAGTAGCTGAAGATCTAAGACTTTGAGCGACTGGTTTGCGCACATATGTATGCATGCTAAACTTCTTGAGATGTTGACACTTTTTACCATCCTCTTTTGTGATTTTTGCTTTAAATAAAGCCTGCCATTGGCATTGCACTTGAATAGATAGGTCATTTTCAAGCTTAATTTTCACAATATCCCATCTATACACAATCAAGACTCAGGAGGCGATATGCATGCGTGAAGTGCTGAATCCCAAGTGCAAACCTTTCACCACCAGCTGTCGCTTTTCACAAGCATTCACACAAGCGTCCTCTGTCGGAAACCTGTTGTCATTTCCGAGACAACCTCCATAGAAAAACGAACTACACTTCCCAGACCGTGCGCTGAAAAAATATTGCTTGAAAAACATTCGACAAGGACCCTTCACCACGGGTTGCAAGCACGGATCTGCACACAAAAAGACGTACAAAAAAGAAGGGGGGGGTTTAATATTTTCTGTCATCATTGTGCTAAATATCCCCAACACCGACCGATGATTTCCGTCTTCCTTCTTTGATTCACTTGCTGAGCATCTGGCCTATCCTGACCCGAACAGGCCTTGACACAGGTTTGCAATTTGCTGAACTTGTTCCTGTTGCCCTTGCATCCACCATAATTGAATTCCTTGCAGAACCCGTTGGTGGGGTCATAATAGTACCTTTTGATGCTCGCTTTGCATGGCCCAGGTTGCACAGGCTGGTAGCAAACTCCTGATAAATTTATGGAATGTTTTGATACTGCATTTGACATTAAAAATACGCACAAATTGTAGGCTTTTTGAAATTTTCTGAAGAATCTTACACATACATTTGATGAATTTGAGCCTTGGGAAGGATAGAATTTTAAAAACTAACACTATATTTTTACAAAGAAAAACTGGGGCTTGGAAATGGGTACTTTCCTGTTATCTCAGTACCTACTTTCTGTGCACCTACCAGAAACTGTGAATTTCCTTTTTCTGCATTCTACTGAAACTGATTTTGGGAGGCAGTTAGGTAAAGTTAGCTTAGTTATGTTAGTTACAAATATCTTTCAATTAACAATATTTGTAACTAACATAACCTGACCTAAGCTAACTTTACCTAACTGCCTCCCAAAATCAGTTTCAGTAGAATGCACCTAACCTGAACCTAACCTAATCTGACCTAACCTAACCTAACAAATACTGAATTCACGAGACAAAGAAAAATGGGTACTGAGATAACAGGAAAGTACCTGGAAATGTTGCATTTAGAAGTTGAAAACGCGTCCTCTGTGAAATTTTGGATTGGAAAACATGTTTTTTTCTTTACAAAAAATCAGAGAAAAGTCTGATCTCAAGACTGTCAAACCTTGGTTAACAGATTTTTATTCCCTGGAGAAAATCTCTCCCTTGGCACACCAGAAGATGGTTCACAAAATCTTGACCATAATATCCTATATTATAGAAATGAATGTAATAAATTAAAAATTTCTAAAGTATTATCATCAATTCCAGCTTGATGTTCTGTTAACTTTTTACTCAGATTAACAAAGATAAATTCAGTTACAGTAATTTGGTTTGTTAACCAATAAGGGTCAACTATTTGCAGTTAACAGAACATAAAGCTCTTCTAATTGCAAATTTGAACTTTTAAATGTATTTGAATCTTTCAAGTTTATCATGCATTTGAAACTTTTAAATGTATCATATAATCAAAACTTTTAAATTCATTGTGCATTTAAAACTATAAAATTTAGTTTTTTTCCATGCATCATATATTCAATTGTAATAATGAATATTATTTGCCTGGTTTCATGGTCAGTTTTGTTCTCCTGGGTGCACACTTGTCTAGGCACTGCTGGATTGAGATGAAATTGTTGGCATTGCCCTTGCAACCACCAAAAAAGAAACCCACACAGGCTGCTTTCTGGGGATCATAGTAGAACCTTCTGAATGAACCCATGCACCTGCCCTTTTCCACTGGCAAGGAACAAATGTCTTCTTCAACTTCTCCTTCACTGAGTTTCTCAATCCTTGCTGTAGGGATTACTTCCCCTTTCTCCACAACTGCCACTTGCAAGCCCTGGATTGAAGGCATGGTTTCCTGGGTGTCCTTGGCATCTACTTTTACAATGACAACACTTGGAGTTTGTTAATTACTAACTTTCCAGAGAATTCCCATCAGTGAGCTTACTGTTCATCAGGTCCTTTTCCTTTGCAGTTCCACTGCAAGCAGCGTTGCACACAGCAAATGTGCGGAAATTGTTACCATTTCCAAGACATCCACCATAGATGAACTTTTCACACTTTTTGCTGTCCATGTTGAAAAAGTATCTGGGCATGTAGGCATAACACCTGCCTCTATTGAGCTGCAATGTACACCTTGCTTCGAATTGAGGGCTATTTGGCACATCATCAGTGCTCTCATCCTTCAAGCGAATTACAGGGATGTGAACCTCTTTAGAAGAATTCTCAGACTTTTGAATGTATATTTGAACCTCTGGAATGTGCACTGCAAAATTGATGAGCACAGACATAAAACCAACACCAGAAACCATCACCCAGCAGAAAGCTCTTACCATCACTGATATTTGAACTGACTTCCTCTGCATGAGGTGTCACAGCATGGTTATGATCTGAAGAAATAAATGAGTGCTGTGGAATTTTGTGCCCACTACCAAAAACCATCACCAAAAAGTGCAATAAATAAATTTATTGTCTCACCAGCAGGGCTTTTACTTTCTGCCTCATCAGCTGCTGCAGATGAGGATGAGGATGATGATGATGATGATTTCGCACACTGAGTTTCACAGAGCTCCCTAGACTTGAAATTGTTCTGGTTTCCACCACAGCCCCCATAGAAGAAACTCTTGCATGCACCAGTGGCAGTGTCAAAATGCCTGATTTACAGATTGATGCCATTATAATGTGAATTTGATTGATTCTATAAAAAAAACATAGGTTNACTTACCAAGACGGAAATCTTCCCCTGCACCTGCCTCTTTCTGGGTCTAGTGTGCAGCCATTTGGAGATCCTTGGCAGGCACTTTCACATTCCTCAGAAGTTTTGAACCTGATTCAAGTGAGATTATTTCAATGAACTGAAAACCATGTACCATACATTTGCTTGAGTTACCACATCCCTTGGGTAAGAACCACACCCCATTTTCTATGTTGCTAAAAATCAAGAGATGTGAAATATTTTGCATGATGGTTCCATTTTAATTCATGGATATTTTGTCTGTCCTGTTTTTACCATCTGCAGAAGTTAATATGTGCTTCCAATATATGGCAGCTTACTTGATTGTATGAATATTTCCCCATCCTATACAGTACTTCCTGTTGCATCTGCAACCAATACTTTCCTAAAAACTGCTATTACTTGAACCATTATTTGCCATGGACAAGGAGATTGGGCACCACATATTTCCTCTTCCTTTTTTCTTTGATAACTTTCATTTATGAGAGGCACTGATTTTGGGGTTTTTCTTTCGAAAATGTATGCTGGAGTGCCATGTGCCCCCAGTGTTTCTGCCTTAAATTCTGGACAAATGTGTGCATACTACTTGAGTGAATACAATGCAGTATTCTTTTTCTCAAAATAAAACTTCTCTCCCAAGTTTCAGATTTCTCACCTGTTCTCATTGCCCTGGCAGCCACCATAATTGAATTCCTCACACTTGCCTGTGAATGCATTGTAATAAAAGCTGGGCACCAGTGCATCACAATTACCTGCTTGTTTAGGCTGGAGGCACACATCTGAAAAAAGGGAAGGATCCAAAGAAAACTCCAGTTTAATACTGCTGGTGGGTACTGCTATTCAACCATAATCCATTGCTGCACTAGGATCAAATTGTGAAATGGTTGAATGGCAAGACATTGTGTAAATTCAAGTAAGAGTGGCACCACAACAATAGAAAGAAACTGAAGCAGGTCAATTTGCGTGAAAAAGTCAAATTGTGAGTCAACCTCCCAGTAAATTTCACCATTGAGTTGCAGGATGGAAAATTCCCAGGAAGTCAAATTGCAAGGTACCACACACATATATATATACATAGCTGGATGAAAACCATACTCACTGTTGGCAGTTGGCCTTTCTTGAGGCACTACGTCAGCTGCAGTGTCATCGCTAGCTTTGTTCTCTTCCCCATGTTTTTCCCAAGACAGTGAGTCTACTTTTTCTCCCTTGTCTCCAGCTGATGATAAATCATGCGTTTGAGAGTAATAATAACATTGAAATTCGTCTCATTGGTAGAAACTTACGGCAGACCCAGTCAATGGGACACGTTCCTTGATTGAAGTACACAGGGGTGCAGCCATTGTCCAGCCTGTGTTGGTAATTGGACTCCCAACCACACTCTACTGCCCTGCAAGCAGAACTGTCAACACCACCCTCATCAACAAATGCCTGGTTGCACAAGCAGGTCTTGGTCCTGTCCCTGGGGTAAATTCTCTCTCCATCCACATACTGTCTGCCTTCAAACTCGCACAGGAAATCAGTCTCAGTGACATCTGGAAACAGATCAAAAAAACCTTTTGTTCCAGCAAAACCATTGTGACTATAAAAAAAACACAATTATCATGACAGATGCAGTCAGTAAGATTTAGAATACAGTCAACCCTCAGTTAACGTTCTGTTTGCTGAACATTTTTTTTTGCTTAAGGTTCCCATTCCTGTGAGAAACATCCCCTCGCTTAACATTCCAAAATCCGCTTAACATTCTGCAGTTGTGCAGCATCGGGTGATCAATGTGGATGCCTCCCTCCCTCCCTCCTGTACATTTTCTTGAATGTGACTTTTTCCACAGCTTTAAATGTGTTTCCTGTGTGGTGGTGTGGTGTTACAATTATTTTATGAACAATTGCATTGTCACACACTGAATTTTGGGTAACACTTAGACCTTTTCCTTGTTTAAAATGAATCTCTGATTTTAATTGAGTGAAGAACTGTGGTTAATTTTTGAATGTAATGTCAGTGCATACAGCTCAGTTGTTGGAATACACTCTTTGATTAATTTTTTTCTGAATTTTACCTTTACAAAATTTTGCCTGACACCAATTAAACATTTCTCCCTTATATCTTAAGGGAGAGACGACCTTGCTTAGCTAACATTTTTTCCCTCTGCACCAACTAAAAACAATAAGCAAGGGTAGAATGTATTTTCTGACACTGTATGCACTATAGAGGAAGGTAAAAAGTACAGTACATTCATAGCATTTCAAGAATTTGTGGGAAAAAAATTCATGCAATTCATTCTATTCCATTTTTCCCTATAGAAGTTTTAGAGAATATTTACATATTATTTAGTTTTTCAGTATAAATTCTGTGCACTTTTTTCAACAGTGACACATAACTTGAGCAGGTTTTTCACATGGAAATGATCAGACAGAAACACTGCAGTACCTTTTTCAAGTAGTCCTAACAACAGTTATTTTTGATACAGATGGAATTCCAAAACCATGAATTATTCCTTGTAAAGTGACTTTCAAAATGTCCAGCAAAAACACCACAGGCACATGGCTGTATTATTATTTTTTTGCATATTTTTACCATTCATCACAACAAAATCAAGGTAGTTCTTCTTGTGTTTCCTTCACATTTAGAAGAATTTTCCAACAAAATTTTATTTATCTTCAAGAGAGAAATTTCAAACGAGTTTCTACTG